AGATACAGTGTAATTAAAACAACTTTAAACTCAAGAAAATTGTTCTATCAAAGTTTCATGCTTTGATGCTGCTTGTACATGGAATTTTCAAATTGTTCGAAATTGTTTTTGAAAGCATAACATTATATTATTTTTGTATAATTTTATTTGATAATTGAATGCTGTAGACTAAATAGTTTTTAAAGTCTTTTGTTTTAAATATGGGGATAAAATAATTATATATTGTTGCATAATATGGCCTGTTCGCCTCTTAAACTTTGTTTTCATACTTATTTTTATTTTTTGTCTGTAGGTGGACTTTGTCCATTAGACTGTCTTAATGGCTAATGTATAATAGAAACTGAAAGTTAAAAGAATAATGCATAATTGAGTTTTGACTGCAATTGTTTTTGAACTGAAAACTTGAAAAAACAAATTCCTATTAGGATTAGGAGCAGAAACAGAATGCTTTCTCGTTAAATATTTAATTTTATTTAATGATGCAAAATTTCTAGTCATTTTTGTTCTTTCTGCTGTCTTAAAAAAGAAAACTCATTACAATGATATGTTATTTTTAATTTGATAACTCTTATTTCTGCGACATGATTTGACTGTCCAGGAATTGCATCATATGCTCATTCATTCGATTGAGTTAATTCCATGTTTTACATAAAAGCTTGTAAAAGAATTATAGTAAATTTATTTATTTTAACACTAAAATAAGTACATATTCCACTTTAAAATTTTATTATTATTTTAAATACTTTCATATCACAATATGGTTAGTGATAGTGTTAACAGCCACCACACAGGCATTTGGCAACTGAGTCTGAGAATCAAATAATGCAATTAAATTTGCCAATTTTGATGACTAACCATAGTGGTCATTTTAATGAGTAAGGTACAAAGCATAAGTTTTCATTTATCTTTCATGTTTAATTAATTTGTTATAAATTTAAAAATTGAAAAGCAATAAATGTTTTTGTTTAACTTAGATCTTTGTTTTACTTTTTAAATAATGTGTCTAATTTTAGAAGTTAAAAATTCAGGGCTTTTCTGATTATCTCCATCCCCTTAAAGTAAATTCATGAAGTCTCCGAAATAAATAACCCATAACCTCAACAGAACGTTTTAAGTGACAACCCAGGTGTGCCAGTGCCTGGAGCTGATTTCCACCTTCAAATTCAGTGGTCATTTTTGTCATTAATGTTTTTAGCCTGAAAAGAACGCTAGTCCTGAACGAGATATTAGTCTTGAAATGGCATTTTGTGTTGAATCACTAAAAACGGCATATCGCTTTTCAAATACTTGCCACCAAATACAGTACAAAGTCCGTAATCCGTACTCATCGAGACTTCAGCGATTCCGGATCTGGGGTTTTTCCGGATTATAAATCATCAATTTAAATCTGGTAAGATGGCATGCAGAAATTATACAATTAAAAATATGAAACTGTAATTTATGAAATAAAGAGCAATTATGATCTAAAGGGTATCAAAATTTACTAACAAAAAAAAAAAAAAAAAAAAAAAAAAAAAAAAAAGAAAGAAAGAAAGAAAGAAAAGAAAAAGCTTAATATTTATTTGCTTACTTTAGTAAACATTTCTTTCAATGTAAGTTGTTAAGTTGCTTCGTTTTTTGTGCTAATACTTTCTCTTTAATTCTGTAAACAGACATAATTTCTTGTTCAGTTACAAAGTTCCACTGTTCAAGTCCTGTAATTGCTGTGTCGAGAATACCGACTAACTTGTCAATCGAAATATTTCATTTTCAATAACGTTCTTTGTTAATTTCTTCACTATGGATAAACGCTAGCGCATGGGTAAACGCTTTACTGGCTTTACGTGCATGCATAAGTTTGTGGCTTTGAGATCCGGATTATAGATCATTCTGGATAATGGACGTCCGGATTACGGACTTTGTACTGTATTATCATCCTGTATTTATGTTAAAAGAAGTTCAATGAAGAATCTGCATGAATGTATACATTTTTCTCACATTATGAAAAAACAAAAGTACCTAAAGCCATCAAATTTTGAATAGCATAATCCTTCACCTGAATCTAGGCACCTTGAAGCCCAAATTTTGAATTTCAAATTTTGAATAGCGTAGTCCTTTACCTGAACATGGGCACCTGGAAGCCCGAAGTTTGAATTTCAAATGTTTTTTATAACCTATTTCATATTTTGTAAACCTTTAATGAATTTTTGATCAACAAACTCAACAATTTCAAACCAATCAATGGCTTTTTATCTTCAGCACGCAAGACTGTCTCTTGGCAATTATAAAAATGTGCAGTTTTTAAATATTTTGTTATAATGCTGTTGAATTGAATTTTGTGTGCCATAAGCACCAAGAACATGATATTTAATAAATAAAGTACACATACAAAATGTTAATAATAAAAATACCCCAAATGAAGTTTTGTAAAGCCATCTTAGTAAGAAAACTGATCATTAATATGATGAACTGAGAAAAGATTAAAAAAAAAATCAGAAGAATGTATGCCAACACTTAACACTGCATCGGGAATTCAGTGGTTCTAAATGTGTACTGCTATATGCTGCTTTTAAAGTTTTTTATGATTTTACTGTTGAATTCTTTATGGTGTAAGTACGATGAAAATGATGCTTAGTAATAAAGCTAAAAAGACCCACCAAAAAATATGGTTAGTGATAGTGATAGGAGACTTGTAAATTGCAAGGTCAGCGAGAGCATAAAAAACCTTAACAAAGCCTTTTCGGTGACTATTACAATCTGAAACTGTTCAAATAAAAAAATGGGGGGGGGTATAATGAAAAGAATTTGTAATGGCACTGCTGTTGATTTCACCAGCTGATGTAAAAGGCAGTGTTCCATATTTTGTGCAATAATACAGAATACAAAAATTCACATTCGTTGAAGTTGTACTTCTTAACCCTTTGACGCGCGGTGGTCGCGCCCTGAAACCACCATTTTCCGAATTTTTTCCCTCCTCTTTTTTTTAATGTAAATATACTTTGCTATAATTAAAAATAGAAATTGCATAAAAGTTTTATTTAAATTTAAAATATTTTCTGAATATTTTTAAATTGATTCTGAATATTTTGAAATTATTTGATAAAATACGAATAAAATAAGTATGAATGGGAAACGAACAATCCGTACAAAGCCAAAAAGACCAAGCCCCCCCCCCCATTAACATAAAAAACCACAAATTTCATGTGCCAGATGAAAAAAAACTAAATAACGCTGGACATATACCAGTGAAATTTAAATCCAGGCAGTGTACATTTTGTAGCACAAGGAAGAAACCTCATAGAACAAGATGTACATGTGCGAAATGTGCAATGTGAGTCTATGCATGTACCAAAGAGACAAAACATGCTTTGAACAGTGTCAAAAAAAAAAAAAAAAAAAAAAAAAAAGAGGAGTGTTCTTTGAAATTAAAAAAAAAAAAAAAAAAAAAAAAAAAAGCTGATTTTTTTCCCCTTACTTTACTGACTGAGTTTTGTTAATCCATTTATCTGAAATGTTCCTTATTATGTAAGGTACTTAATATTTTCACTGCTATAGAAAAAATTACATAAATGTTTATTTTTTTCAATTTATTCTGAGGATTTACTTTGTAAAATAAATGTAAAAAATTTACATATAATACAATTCTTACACACATATATTTTTTTAAATCCGTAAATTTCGTCATTTATTGGGAAATGCGCGCGGGAAAATGGTAAGTTTTTTTTCCTCCCCTACTACCACAGTAAGTTTCAAAGTCCTAGAACGCGCACGGTGGTTTCACAGTGCGATCCACCACCCACAGAACAATGGGCAAGAGTAGATTTTTTTAATTCATATATTATTTGTCTCTAGGATCATAATTTTCAATTTCTAGAATTTTTAGTTAAAAAAATTATAAAAATAATACCGCGCGCATCAAAGGGTTAAATGATAATATTTTATGGATTAAAATTTGTATATGATGCCAAGTTTGTGGAAATCTCTGATATTTGTTTAAGCGAAAACAGATTGTTCATAGAGAGAATGGTCGTGTGTGCAATGCCAAGTTTTGCATGATGTGAAATTTTTAGAATTCTTTGATGTTTTTTAAGTTAAAACAGATCGCTGTGTATATGAGTGTCCCTCCTCAAATAAAAGGGTAAGTGTTTCATTGCAAATGTTTCTTGTATTTTTTATTTTGTTAATTGATTGTTGTTTTATGTAATATTTTCTGTATCACCATTTTTGAAAATGGCTGTGGTTTTCTTGGCGAAAAATTAGTCACCAGTAGTTGACTTTTGAGGAGAGTTTGAAAATAGTCAAAAAGTGCCAATATTCATTTCATTTATAATACTGTATCCAACTGGATTTTGTTATAAACACTTACAGTTTTGTTAAAGATGCTATAGCAACATAATCAGCGTATCTTTAGCTTGTTATTTTAGTTAATATTTGCAGCTTTGTTTAATAATGAAAAATGTGTCTGATACCATCTGTTCATATAACTGACACAGAATCGTTAAAATTATTTTTTTATGATTCTTTACGTTTAAAATTTTTTAGCAATTTTTTAATTTCTAAAAATTTTTAATGGCAAATTCTTCTTGAGTCGATAAATTGTTGTTTGAAGTTTTTAGATAGCAGTTTTTTTTCAATTTATTTTTGGAATTTAAAACTTTGATGAATGTTTTAATACATGTTTAATCATTTTTGCTTTAATAGCTTGCATACTGAATGTATAAGTTATTGAAACCACATCTATTTTATTTTTATTGTATTCTGTAACAACTCAAAACAACATATCAGATAACTGTGTGTTATGTAATTGTCAAGTTATAGATGTTGGGAAGTGATTCAAACTTTGTATGTATGTAGATTGACCAGATGCATTGCTTGTGCAGATCTGTAGAGACCAGATGCATTGTCTTTTAATATGCATATTTATTATTTTATTAATTTATTCCCACTTATCACTGAATTTATGTTATGTATTTGAGATTTTTTAAATTCTGTTAAATTTTATTTCTGTAATTAACTTTTAGCTGACTTGAAGTATATAATGATTGGAATCCCTCACAGAGGTCGACTGAATCTGTTAACAGGGCTGTTAAATTTTCCTCCAGTTGCAATGTTTCAAAAGGTTTGAATATTTTGTTGGTTTTATACATGCTAATTGTCTGATATAGGTGCATTACATTATTTCATTAAATTTTGCAAAATAAGCATTGACTTTTAAAAAATATTACTAAGATTTGAAATTTCACTGCTAATAGAGGTAAGTGCTTATAATAAATGCCACTGAACAGTTGAAATCTGTTTTATGAACAGGAGACTTTAGATTAAGTTTTCCAAATGGACTTGATTTTACAGGGAATTGATGATCAAGAGATCAGTTGAGTGTCAGTAGCTGAATTTGTACTGGCAATTAATCGGCATAATCGAGATTCCATTTAATACAAAAAAATTCTTAAATTTATAATTTTTATTTATTGATATAATGCTGTATAGTAAAAAAGAAATCATAAAAAATAAATATAAGGGTAAAAATACAGAAAAGAATATTTAATATGTTTTAAAAGTAAGTAATCTTTTTTTAAATTATATATATATTATGAAATAAGCATAATATCAAAGAAGAAAATGCATTAAACACAGCCGGGTAAAAAGTATGTAAAAACTTTCTCTGGATGTGCCGCCCAGATAGTATAGTGTTTAGGGGAGCCTGACTGCAATACCAAAGATCCCGAGTTCTAATCTCAGAGAAAGCATGGTTGTAACTGTCCGTCACTTCATAGGAGGCAAAGGTGGCCCACCAATCAGGTTCCTCCATAATAAAGTGGCCACCACTTCTGGTCTTAGTAGTGGCCAAGCCAAATCGGGTGAGGGCTTGCTATTGGTTTAAAAAGAAATCTCTCTCTCTCTATATATATATATTCTGTAGAAACCATTTGCAAAATTTAAAAGAAAATTTTAATTTTCGCTTCCAAGATATTGAAAATTTAAATGTTCTGTCATGGTGCCAGAAGAGTTGATTACATTTAGAAGGATTAATTTCATAGTAGGATTTTCAAGCACAAGTGTAATTTGAAACACATGGGTATGCTAAAGTTTAGAATTTAAAAGTTATTGGAGAGAAATATCCCCAAATAAAAGTTGTTACTGAACTAACATTATTGACTTTTCGCTCTTCTTATCTAGTGGAAGCAGGCTTAATAATTTCCTACAGAAAGCAAGAAACAGGTTGAATATTTTTGAACGGCATGATTAAAAAATTAATTATGCAGTTTTATGCCATATATTAAAAAGAATTGCATCAACACATGAATGCCTTTGCATTAATTAAAATGGAACTTTTGTGTAAATAGAATTGAGATTTTATTTTTGAAAACTTGTTTATGTGTGTAAAATTAAGGGGAAAAATGCAAAAAATAATAAATGTAAATCTAATAAACCATTTTTTTATCGAAACATTTATTTATTTTTACACTAATGATTATCTGTAATTTATTTATCCACAGTTGTTTGCATTTTGATTGTGTCATTTGCTGTATATTATAAAGGGGATTGATGAAGAAATTTCGTTTAGTTCTTTAGAAGAATGTTCTTTTGTTGAGATATTCCAGCATGGTGGTGTTTAAGGAAAGGTTTAGAATCCCTGATTTAGATCATTTAATTTCTTATTAACGAATGGCAATTAACTATTGGAAACAAAAAGTTGATTTATGACTAATTTTAATCCAAATTATTAAACATTATGAAATACAACTTACCTAGAATTTAATTTAAATGTAAATTATTATCAATAATTTTTAAATTTGTATTATTTTCAGTCATGAAATTTGTTTTTCCTCATAGAAATTTGAGTTTAAAAATCATTTTAAGAGTAATTTAAAGCTCACTTGCTAAATTTCATTATATTTCCCAATTTAAAAAAATGGCATTTTTACTTCACAAGTTTTTTTTTTAATTGAGAAATTGAATATTTTGTTTATTGACATATCTAATAAAGCCTTTACTTTTAAGGTAGAATTAAGATGGAGAGAAAGAGAAATTATTTTTTTTATTTTGTCATGCATCAGAGGTTTAAAATTAATACTATAAATATTTTAGAAGATTCCTTTCAAATGGAAGGATTTAATCTTACATGCCATAAAAGTAAAGCATAATTATGTGTCAAAATGTGTAAGGATTTTTAAGTACAGTTTCTAAGTTAACTTTTTTATTTGATTTAATTTGGAAGATGATTTAATGAATTTAATAATAGTTTAATTTTGGATGATGATTTAAAATGTAAATTGGAATATTCCATCTTTTATGCATTTCATAATTAGATACTAATATATCTGAATAATATGTGCACATTATGAAGAGTAATTGTACAAATAGGTTGATTTAAATAAAATTAATTACAGAAATAAGGATTTAATCAAGGTTTTCTACACTGAACAGCTAAAAAATTTTAACCACCTATTCAATAATGCACTGCATGAACTTTGGCTTGCAAAACAGCTGCAACTTGCCTTGGCATGGATGCCACAAGTTCTTGTTAGATGACTGGGGACAGGTTGTACCAAATCTCTAATCAGCGGTCATACAAAGTTGAGATATTCCAGCATGGTGGTGTTTAAGCTTTGAGCTACCATTCCCCGGCATCCCTAATGTGTTCTATCATTTTAAGATCCAAGCGAGTTAGGTGGCCAGGACATTATTGGAATTCAGCATTATGCTTTTTAAACCATTCCAACACAATTTGAGCCTTGTGACATGAGGCATTGTCCTGTTGGAAGATTCTATTTCCAGTTCGGAAGATAGACATCATGTAAGGGTGCAACTGATCCCAGAGCCGCCCATAAGAATGTCACCCAAAGCGTAATTTTACCGCCATCAGCCTTTGTATGACCTGCTTGCTTTACGGGGGGGGGATCACTGTTTGCCTGGAAGATAGCATACCCTGACACGACCATTAATGGGATGAATGAGAAAATGTCATTCATCTCAAGAGGCAGTTATCTTCCATTTTTCCATGCTTCAGCCTCAATGTTCCCAGGTCCTCTGTAGGACTAGTTGACCGTGATGCTTAGTCAGCAAAAGCACACGAATGGGATGTCTGCTGTACAGTCCCATATTCAGCAGTACCCATAATGAACCATGTGTTCCTAAATGCCTGCATTTGGGCCTGCATTATATTGGGCTGTCAGCTGATCCACTGTCTAGTGCCGATTTTGCTGTACCAAGTGGGACAGTCTCTGACATCCTTTTTCTTTACTGATGCATGGACATCCAACACCTTGCCATCTACTACATGTCATTTATCCACTTTGCATAAATACTAATAAGAGCAGGTCATGATTTCTGTATGTTAGTCATTTTATTTAGTAAAATTAATTAGTTTGCTGATTTACATTACTTAGATGTTTAAAAAAAATTCTTTTCTATAAAAGCAAAATACGGTTGCAAAAAAATTGCTGAATTTCATAGGCAAACCCGAGGGAAAAAATTTAGTTTTGAATCAGGTGAAAGAAAAATTGTGTGGGCCTAAAGGTTTAGCGTGTAAAATTTACTTTTTAGGGAGTAAATGCATAAATTTTTATAACTTTTTGATGTTATCAGTAAGGTGTATAGTGTTCCAGTTCTTTAGTTACATCATTTCCATGGCTTTCACATCATTTGCAATATGGTTTTTTTTTAATTGCTGTAGAAATCATATTTTTAAGGAGGTTTTAAAAATATGAAAGTTATTTTGAATAAATTGTAAAAAGTATTTGCAATTATACTATTTAAAACATATCCTAAAAATATTTATCAAAATGCATATATATGTATGAAGGAAGAAAGATTTATAATATAATTAATGTTTACTTCAAAACTTAAAAAATTAATTTTTGTTATAAATTGACAGAATTTTAGAATATCATGCCTGTCATGTGCTAGATAAATTGATTCTTTTTTAATTGAAATAATACAGGATGACAAAGTTCATTTACAAAATCATTTTAAATTTAAGGTCAACTCACTTTTACTTTAAATTTTTATAGTGTAGTTCTTTATGTTCCAGATGATGGGCTTTCCTGAATTTTCTAACGATATAAATGCCACTGGTGATGTACTGTCACATTTAAGTAAGGTTAACTTTATATTTTATGACAGTTGAATAATATAATTTAGGTTAGAACAAATGAAATATATATAATAATGAATTCTTTTTAAGATTAAAAGTGTTATAAATATAAATATTCTTTACTTTTAAAGTTTAAATATTTCTCATTATTTCAGCAAGCTCTATAGATTACAAATTCAAAGATGGCTCAGTACATATTACTTTGCTTCCCAATCCATCTCATTTAGAGGTGAGAATTCTAACACATATTCAAATTAAATTTAAGTTATATAACATTAATATTTAGGAAATTAAATCTTATTAGGTATTCTATATTTGTCATTACTTCCCTCCAGATTTATTCCTTAAAAAGATTGTTGTGCTAATGATAGATTATACTTTGGCTATTATTCGGTTATTTAATTTAATATTTTACAAATTTTATCATTTCAGAAGCAGTAGAAAACGCAGCTGTTTATTTTATATAATTCTATTTTTAGGTTTAAAATTGTTTTTCTTTGAAATACAGTAAAAGAATATTGTTAACTATATATATACACTTAAAAAGATAAGGTAAGTTAAGTTGTGCAATAATTAATATAATTATCATGTTATGTTGTTATATATTGGAATAGTGGTCTGACCCAGGAGCCTGATTACATGAACCTAGTTCAACGAGCCAGAAGAAGCTTCACAGTCACACACAACTGCATTCAACTTCTTAAATCTAAAGTCAATGGACTATTTCTTTACTCTCAAAAGCTCTTTCAACCCTTTTAAAAGGGCCTCTAAAAGGGTTGAAACTTGCTCTTAACACACCCTCTTTTAATCATCTGAAATTTCTGTATGTTTTTATGACCACCATTTTGAGTGTGAATTAGCATTGAGGAAAATTTTTGCCGATTCGTTGACATATATGGTTATATTTTGAATGGGTTAATGGGTTATAATTTGTTTCTATTTCTAATATAAATGATGGGATACTTTCATTTTCTAGCAAGAAAGTAAAACACAAGCATTTCAAAATTCATTTTTTCTATTGAAGAGCTCTTACTTTCAGAGACAATTTTTCACTTTTGGGGATGTGAATTCTTTTATTAAACGGTTCTAAATTTGGCGATTTATCAACATATTGGCGATTTTAAGATAAGTTTCTGTAGAAAAATTTTAATTTCAAAATCTGAGAATTTTCGATGATTTTTTTAAAACATCGTAACATTGATAAATTTCATTAAAATAATGGTAATATATTGAAATTATATTTAAAAAATAACATTAAAATAAAACATTTTTATTTTTCGCTGTCAAATTGTAAAGTTTCATTTTCGCAACTTATTATACAATATTTTGCATGTGAAAAATAAACAAGGTATAATGCTATAAAGCAAAATTTACGAAACAGCTCTTAGCAAAAGCAAAATTAGCTATGTAATTAATTAAAAATATCTTCTTTTTATTTTTTTCATAATCAGAGTTTTTCCAATGTGATTGTTTCAGAATTTTCAAAATTCTCAGAATATGCATCAGTTTTCTCTATAAAATTAATTTTACACTTTTTCCCTCCTTTTTTTCCCCTAAAATATATCTGCCCTTTTGCTGTTACAGAATTGGTAGGGATAATTTTTCTTTAGGATTTTAGACATTGCAGCTTGGAAAGTTTAGAAGGATTTGAAGTCAAAATTTATAGACGTATGATTCTAGAAGATTTGAGAAATATGTGACAAAATGAAAAATGTCTCCATGGTATCAACACGTAATGGATGTACAGGGTGTTTATAAAGTCCCGGACCCATTTTGATGTTTAATAACTCATAAAATAATAAAGATAGATTAAAATTAATAACATAAAATGTTAGATAGACTCAAAAAATTTCATGACCCTTGTCAATAAACTTCCACGTGTGCCCCCTTCGTCGCATGGAGAATATCAAGTCAATATTCGATTTCATGCGAGGTACCGGCAAGCATGTTGTGATCCACAGAGACTATTGCGGTTGTAATTCTGGCTTTTAGGTCATCAATTTTCAACAGTCTCCTCCTGTAAACGTTGTCCTTTACAAATCCCCAAAGGAAAAAGTCCAGCAGCATTATATCAGGTGATCGGGGTGGCCAAGGAATTGGACCTCCTCGCCCAATCCATCTTCCTGTAAAATGGTCATTCAAAGAACTACGAACGATGGTACCCCAATGAGGTGGTGCACCATCTTGTTGCAAAAAGACATGTGGCTGAAGCTTTTCTAGTTGTGGAAATACGAAGTTTTCCAACATGTCTAAGTATATGACTGATGAGACTGTCTTTTCTGTAAAAAAGAAAGGCCCAGTGACTCAGTCGTGCATTAGTCCACACCACACATTAACCTTTGGGGAATCCCGTTGTGCCTCATGGTATTCATGCGGGTTTTCAGATCCCCATATGTGCACATTATGGCGATTAACAATGCCAGAAAGATGAAAGCATGCTTCGTTGGAGAACATTATGCACTTCAGAAATTCAGCATCATCTTCTATCCTCCTTAGCATATCTGTTGTGAAGGCCATCCTCCTAGGCCTATTGTCCGGTTTCGAAACTTGAACAATTTGAACTTTGTATGCATGCAGTCTTAATTTTTTCTTAATAACTTGTACACCGTCGAAATTGACATATCCAATTCTCTTGCCGCTGATCTCACAGATCCTCTAGTATTGTGTAGAAATGTCTCTCTGACATGCTCAACATCAAAATCACTTGTGCAGGGACGTTCGGAACGTTTCTTATCTGCTATACTTCCAGTTTCTAGAAAATTCTTTTTCCACCGCAAGATGCTGCTTTTGGATGGAGGATCTTTTTGGTAAATTCTTCTGCAATTTGTCTCTGTTTGCATTATGGATTTTGTTTCTGTGAACCACCATAAAATCTGAGCTTCCTCTTGTGCCGTATGCATTCTCCTTAATATCTGGTCGAATAAAATATCGCATACAAAAGTACTAGAACAAACACATCAAAAGTAAAGATAACATTGTAGTAGTTGCCAAAAACAAAAGAGAGAAAAATGCAATTAATAAGTAGACGATATTTAGACTGGAAAATGAAATTATCTGGAATTAACCACACATGCAGATGGTATTTACAAAAGTAAAGACATTCAAACCTGGAAAGGAAAATATATAAGTTATTCCATCAATAAATGCCATAAGTTTGTTTATATCTTCATTATTTTATGAGTTATCAAACATCAAAATGGGTCCAGGACTTTATAAATACCCTTTATTTTACAGAAAGTTTGCGATGAATTTCTTACTTTTCGGAGAATGTCTGGAAGAATAATGAAAACATAATATTTGAATATTTTACTTCTGATACTGGAATCTTTTTCTTAACATGTTTATCTTCCCTTTATTTTCTCTACTTGTCACTAGACATAAGTATGGGAAATATCGAAAATGTGTCTAATCTTATCACATGGCCAGGCATTATAGAAAGGGATTTTTTTATTAATAAAGAAATTGAAAACTTACAATTTAAAAAAATTAATCTTATATGTCTTAATGCATCATACACAGAGCTGGCACTAGGCATTTTCCCACCTGATGCAATCTTTGCGGATACTAAATTCTGCTGCTTGGTGCCTTTCTAAATTCTGCTTCCAATGCCTGCTCTAAATTCTAAAAGTTTTGCCATATCTAGATTTGGTTGTTCGGTGTGTCACTAAATTCTAAAAATTCTGCCACACCAGCTTTGTAACCGACCTTTACCATATATATTTCATATTTCTTCTGAATGTTCATATTACTAAAGAAATATAATTAGCCACTTTTCTATACATTCTAAATGCATTTAGTGCTTTTTAGGATAGCAAAAATCCTTAATTAAATCCAAAAATTCTAAAATGCATGGAAAAGTGTTGAAGAATAAAACTGAATACATAAAAAAAAAAAAAAAAAAAAAAAAAAAAAAAAAATTCTTCAAAGATATGTGCAGATATTATGTAAATTACCCGATTGTTTATGATTTCAGCCTTTACTATAATTTCCCATTTCTGTTCCTCATATGATAGAGTTACTGAGCCAGATTAAATTAAAATTAAATTGTGTAGTCTTTGACACACAATTTTAGTTTGCATTTAGTTTAGTCCACATTTTTAGTTTGAATGTGATTGTTCTTGTTTAATTAAGTCACCGTGAGCTGTAATTGATTTTGTTAGCATCAGAACATGCCTTCATGTTCAAAGTTCTTTTTAAATAAGAGGCTTATTTAAACCTTTTTCTGATATTGTAGTTACTTTCAGCCATAGTGATGATTTGCTTCACATCTGTCAGTGATTTTGGACTTTTTAACTTTTACCAGATCCAGTAAATCCTCATACATTGTGGAGAAATTGACAAGTTAGGAGATAAAGCTTGCAGAAACTAGCGAGCATTGGTTTGCATATTGAGACAAATCTCTACTTGTTAGAAAAGATGCTTAAAGAGAAGGAAATCAATATAAACTAGCCAAAATGTTTGGGAAGGCTTCAAATTAAAATGACTGATAAATATTTTGTTGAGTGTTGTTACAAAATATAAATGTTTTGTAGCTTTTAATGTGTAATTATCCTAATATCGTTTAAGAATCAATGTCATAAATCAAATGTATTTTAAACTGGGAAATTTTATTAGATTTTGATTTTAATAAGGCTTTTTTAACAAATATTGTTAAAAAATATAATTTAATAGTGGTCATGTAATTCCATGATGACTGAGGTTATCTAACTACCTAATTTAATTATTTATAAACAAACTGCTTATCCTTAAAAATTATCTCTACATATTAAAGTGACTTATTGCCTTTCATTAATACTTATACTTGTATTAAAAATGTGGTCACAAGATAAAACACAAAAATGTAAAAATTCAAGTAAAACTTATTCTTTGCATCTAGTGAGACTTAAAATAATACAAAACAACTTATCACCTCTGTTGCTTTAATGGCTTATTGGAGCCTTAAAGTATATTAACTGGGTTACAACCCCTAGAACTCTTCACGAAGCTACAACACTAATTGCATCAAACAGAGCCTGACTAACTTTCAGCACTTGCCAACCGTGCCTATATTAGGCCATTCAGGTTTGTTCTAATTAGCAAATCTGATTATGATCTTACTTCTCATTTTAACCTATGCCGTTTGACATAAAATCTACCTGCTATTTACTAATCCTCATACAGTCATAGACTGATCAAGCATGTGACAAAATGAGACATTAAAAAAAAAAAAAAAAAAAAAAATCGACATAAAGCTAACTGTTAGTAAAACGTAAATGTCACTTATCTTCTTTCAGATTTGTCCAACTATTATAAGTGTAAAATATTTAATGCTACTTGATAAATTGCTTACAGTTAATTTTGTTCTCAAACTTATTAATAATTATGTTAATTATTTCATGTTTAGTAATAATGCATACTACTTAGGGATATATTTTATTTTTATGATGGTATTACAAAAGTGAAATTCAGGCATAGGTAATATTTTAATTGAATTTATTCAGCTCCCATTTGCTCATAGAACTTTAATTGTTTTCATTAATGGTCTTTAAAAGTCCTTAATTTCCGTGTGCAGAAATGTGTATGAACCCTGCTTTATTTCATCTCTATGAGTTCTTTATCAAAATGGGAAGCTAAAAATGGTAAGAATATTTTATTATCTTGTAACCCAGTTATTTTATGCAAAATTGATATTATTTATTTTAAATTAGGCAGTTTCTCCTGTTGTTGTTGGATATGCTCGCAGTCGCCTTCAAAGCTTAAAACTTGCTGATTACAGTGATACTTCAGAGGAACCAATTTCGTACCCAGTGTTGCCCATACAAGTTCATGGTGATGCATCTTTTACAGGCCAGGTACATTTTTACTACTCTCAATGTTTTTGAAAAAAATAGTTACATTGGTGATAACATTAAATTGTATTCTTATACTGTCAATTAATGTTTCCTTAACATCTATGCTGCTGCGTGTTATCGAATGAGGACATTAACATTTTGCTCCTATCATTTTACTCTGATCCCTTACATATGTAGAGGTTATACATTATATGAAATAATAAATGAGCTGTCACTTCATGTCTGTTTTAGAGTTATATTTCTACATAATGACATAATTCATAATTCAACATAATGAGTAATAATTTTGAAATGATGTGGTCACTGAAAAAAGATTGAATTTTGTGCATTTTGACATCTAATGTTAGGCACAAGGCTGTTCCTGCTGAAAAAATTTGTAGGGAGCTTCTTATGGTCTACTTAATTTATAACGTTGTTAAAGATTTCTGTATAAGCAACTTTTGTGATGGCTATATCAAAGATGGGACTAACTATGCACCACCATGCCATTCCACACCATCCTTCTTGTAATGAAGTGGTTCTATATGTGTCATATAGAGATTTTAATTTACCCAAGTATGGAAATTTAACTGGAAGAATGTTTAACCAGCTAAACATTCTGACTGGTTAAACTTGCTTCATCTGAATCCAAGTATGACCCAAAATGTCCTGATTTTCCTGAAGAAATATTTGAAAGCATCATTGGTATGCCATTCTTTTTTCTTTGCCTACCTTTCTTAAATCTCAGATTTCACTAATATAACATGCCTGATGCTTCACGTTTTCTCAGCACAATGGCAAGTGCTTCTATATAATCCTGGCTCCTGTAAAAATTGACTCAACAATTTTCTGGGATATGAAAGCTGTTAAGTCCTTTACATTCTGCATCATTTCTTTCTAGTACTAGTTTTGGCTTGATTTCTTGCATGTTCATAAAAAAAATAATAATAAATAAATAATAAAAAATAAATAAATAAAATAAAATAAATCCCATTGATGAGTTTATTTCTGCAAAGTTTAAATACTCAAGTGCTTTATCTGATAATCTTCACATTGTAGCCTTTCCAGGAATTGCTTTTGTCATGATTTTATCGCTTTTGTTTTCTAATATGTGTTGACAGTAAATACTAACTGCATGAGGGTACACAATTTATATGTTCCAACTATCCTGTGCACAGGCACACACATATTTAGACACTACCAACCAAACACCATAAGCAAAATGAGATTAGCAAAGGCTGGGTAGGCAAGAAAAGTCTGTCTAGACATCCTGGGGATTATTTCGTGTTGCAGCAATTATGGACTCCATTTATTTCTCATACAATGAATGCACTGTACTGCAGATTTTCTTCAACTGACTTGATTAGTGTTAAAATTATATGTATAAAAAATACTGATCTTTATAGTGAATAGAACATCATGTAAAACAACTGCAGGTAATTTGCTCTTTCTATTTATATATGTATATATCTTTTTAAATTTATTAAAAAAATAAAAGAACATTTAAAGAATGTTTTATTATGATCATTTTAATATCATAAAAGATAAAATATTAGATTTCCTTTCCTTCATTTTTCTGCAGGGTGTTGTAATGGAAACCATTGCTATGTCAAATGTTGCTCACTTCTCTGTTGGTGGTTCTGTTCATCTAATTGTAAATAATCAGATAGGATTTACTACTCCACAAGAAAGAGGAAGGTAATTAGATTTAGCAACAATTTACACTACATCCAAATTTTCAAAGGAATTTTCAAATCACTTATTTTTATTTTTGAATTATTTTATTTTGTATGTGTATAATGTGATTTACTATCAGAAAAATAATCAGTATATAATTTGCAATTAAAATATTTTGTTTTCAAGCATACTTATTCCAATTTTTCCTTTCATAAATAGGAAACAATCTTTCAAAAATTATCATGAAAGTGTATCATTCACTATTCTTTCATAAATGGAAAACAATCTTTCAAAAACTATCATGAAAGTATATCATTCACTTTTTTTACTTAATATTTTGCTTTATTTTTACATGTTAAAGTATGCACTGATTAAAAGTACTTTTTACGACTATATAATAAAGGGGAAAGAGATTTTATGACTGTATAATAAAGGGAAAAGAGATTTTTTTTATTAAATATAAGTAGTTGTTCCATTTAGTCTTAATCTTAAATTAAATTTTCTGTATTTTATCTTACAGTAAGGTTTTAAGCTAACTTAAATTACAGTTAATATTCCATATATATATATAAATTATTAAAATAACAGAAAAAATATTCTTATTAAAAAACTAGTAGATTAAATAGGTATAAAAATGAGTTTTAAATAACATTTCAGTTTATTTAATTTATTTATTTTAAGTCCTGTTTTAAAAATTTTCCAAAATCCAACCATAGGTTGACATTTGTTTTATTTAAAAAAAAAAAAAAAACATGTATAAATTTTAAAAGCAATCTTGACAAGAATCTCTATGAAGAAGAGTGAATCAAAGGTGTAGTGTGTAGTGTCTATGTGAAGTCGAATTTTATTTAAAATTTGTGTATTTCTTAAACTTAAGTCTTAAAAGCTGCATTGTTAGTTCAGCTATAAAATATAATACAAAACAGGAAGCTAATGTAACATTGACAGATTTCATTTGATATGTGCAAGGTAAGAACAAATATTTTTTTTTTCTCTCCTAGTATCAATTTAAGTCCTTCAAATTGCTGATATTTATTTCTCTTAATTTTTTTCTTGCCACGTTTCTAACCAAATTTCTAACCAACTTTTTTTTTTTTTTTTAATTCGAGTGTTCCCATAAAATTAAAATTTAGAAAGTTTTGAAAGTGATTTATTAGAATGCATTAAACCTTCGTAATCAAATGATAACTTTTAAAATCATATATAGATTTTATATTAATAATTTTTTTAAGCTGTAAATTAATGTTCATTTCCATTTTAATACATATGTTAATTTTGGGCTATGCATGATATTTATTTCTTGTGTTTTAACAACTAAATTATTCAATAGATACAAGACTTAATCATTTAAAATCAGAGAAGGAATGAATTTTAACATTAGCCTTAATCATATAACACATTGTTCAATAAGCCCTCGAACTTCTTAAGAAAACAATATTTGTTTCACAAAATTCATGTTTATTCATCAATATAATCACCATCAAGAGCTATACAATCATTCGAATGCTTTTCTAACTTTTTGATACCGTGCTTATAAAGCGATTTGTCCTTGTCTGCAAAATAAGCTTCATTGGCATCGATGACTTCCTCATTCAAGCCAAATCTTTTTCCCTGGAGTATCAGCAAACAGCCAGTAGTTGCTGGGGGCTAGATCTGGAGAGTAGATGGTAGATGAGAGAGTAGATGGGTAAGCAGAGTGAAACCCAACTATTAGTTCAATGTAACCTGTATTTGCATTGACTTGTGGCATGGGGTATTGTTTTGATGGAAGATGATTTTTTCTTCTTCATGTGTGGTAATTTTTTTGCGATTTCATCCTTCAAATGCACAACTCACTGTAATTAATGCTATTGATAGATTGTTCTCTTTTCAAGGTAATCGATGTAAATTATACATCGCATATTCCAAAACACTGACGGCATAACTGTTGCATTTTTCGGCGCTTCGGATGGCTTTCACAGACTGCATGCCACTCAGCTGACTGCCTCTTTGACTCCAGAGTGAGATGGGGGATCCATGTTTCGTCCATTGTCACATACCGATGCAAGAAATCCTGTTTATTGTAAGTAAACAGTGACAATCAGCTCTGTGAATCGTCGACTTGTTGTTGCTTTTGATCCATTGTGAGCACATGTGGCACCCATTTGAAAACACTTTTTTTTTATGTCCAACTTTTCATGTAAAATCATACATGCACTTCCAGTTGATATGTTTACCATCTCAACAGTCTTACAAACTTTCACTTTGTGGTCATTCATCATGATTCTCAACACTTGTTTCACATTTTCCAGAGTGACTGCGTCAATTGGCCTACTCAAGGCTGCTACATCATTTGTATTCAAGAAAACACGCTTGAAATCAGCATACCACCAGCAAATAGTTGTTTTCGATGGAGCAGAGTCTGGATACATTTTTCAAGCCATTTCTGAGCTTGCACGGTATTTTTGCCCATTAAATAGCAATGTTTGATCAACACTCGAAAATTGTTTTTGTCCATTTATTCCACAAATGCATAAGTAGTGTCACTTTCACCCCAGTAACTTCGTTGTTTCTGGTCTGTTTGCCATAAAAATCAGACACACATCATTTGAATGTTAGTTCTTTCGAACATCGAAGTCGAGTTGATATCACTAACGTCATCTGTGGGTTAGTCAGAGGTCTTATTGAACGATGTGTTATTGTAGTTTTAAGTATATGTAAACATGTAACTTGTTCTGTAAAAGTATATTTCTGAGTAGAAGAGGTTAAAAATAATTTTGAATTTGTAGAGACATGTCTATATTTGAAAGAGAAAGTATCTGTATTCAGAGGTAGAAAATGTGTATAGTAAAAAAAAATGTAAATATAAATTTTCTGTATTAACATTGGCATTAAAATTTTAAAACAATTTGTGTGAGATGTCCTATTTTTAACATATTATAAAAATTCTGCTGTTGTTTATGTTCTTTTTTATTTAAATTCAGGAAAAATTCTGATATTTTTTGCTAATTACATACATAATTTTCATAATGAGTGTGTATTTTAATGTATAATATTGTATTATGCATTAAACTATGCACTCATATTTATTTTAATGTAAATACAAAAATATCTAAGTTTTTAAAGAATACGTGTCATTGCAATTTATTTTCAGGTCATCTACCTATTGCAGTGATTTAATGAAAACTATAAATGCACCAGTTATTCATGTCAATGGAGATTTCCCTGAGGTGATCTGTTAAGTCATGATATTTTTATTCTATATGGTTGTAATGAAAGTTTTCTGTAAAAAAAAGTTCTTAATAAAGTTAGCCCCCTTAAAAAAAACATGAAAGCAATACCTGGGTAGTAATCACCATCCAAATCTATAATTTTCTGCCAGCGTTTTGATAGTTTGTCAAAGCCCTTTGGCCTAGAAACTTGGTAGCCGCAAGTAAAAAAAAAAAAAAAAAAAAAGTAAAAAAAAAAACTTGCACCATAGCAGATAGTTTGTCAAAGCCCTTTGGCCTAGAAAAACTTGGTAGCCGCAAGTAAAAAAAAAAAAAAAAAAAAAGATCAACCTCATTTCGGATATCCTGTGCAGAACAGAAGATAGCACCAGCAAGATGTAGCTGCACATGTGAAAAAAGGTAGAAGTCTGAAGGAGCAATGTCGAAGCTATATATGATGGCTTTGCGACACTGTTGACAGATTAACCAGTGGCAGACCAACTCCCTTTTTTTGGCCTTTTCATCACAAGTGACAAACCAGTGGCAGACCAACTCCCTTTTTTTTGGCCTTTTCATCACAAGTGACAAACCAGTCCAGAATTTTATCCTTGCATTGATATTCAAGCAAATTAGTCAGGGTTCGTAGCGGTCCTTACAAGTGCTTATAAGCCCTTATATTTGAAAATAAAATATAAAGGTCCTTATAGGTGCTTACTTTTTCTTTAAAGCCCTTATTTTTTTGTTTTTAGTGCTTATTTTTTGCTTTTAGTGCTTTTTTTTAACCTCCTTTTTTTTTTTTTTTTTTTTTTTTTTTTTTTTTTTTTAAATGAACGTGCATTTTTTCTCCGGTACCGAAGCCGAAACTAAATAAACAACTTTTCTTCCTTATATGCAATGTCAGATGGTGAATAATACTCTCGGAAATTGCTTTCCCCCCTTTCTCTGCATTACTGTAACCTATGGTGCGCGCGAGAGTACAGACAGGTTCACATCGTTCTTTTGGTCAAAGAATTGCGAAAGTGGTAGAAAATTCCGTTACATTCGGTATTCTTTTCCTCCCACCCAAATACTACACACGTTTGAATTTCTATCAAGATTTTAATAATTTGCATTCTCTTTCCGCGTGGTCAGTTCGTATTCGTGTCTATTATGATCGTTATGCTTATATTATGAGTATATGCATGAATATTTATAATAATATAGTTGCAGTAACTGCTGAAGTATAGATAAACTTTCAAAAATGGGTGTGTTTTTACACAGATTAGCTTTCTAGGGAATAATATTCGGAATGGCTTAAATAAAAGGAAGGTAATCGAATAGTCAAAGTAATTTCTTTCCCCCCCCCAATACATTATACAGTATGGAGGTTGGGAGGTTCTCCACTTTCTCCGCAAAATCTCTAATATTGAAGCAGCGGATTCCCCCCGCCCCCACTGTCCAATCTGGATTAAATAGGACTAAAAGTTTTTGCGGTCTACCCAACCTAAGCGAAGATTGATTCTATTCCGGAAATTTAATGCAGTCTGTTGAAAATTATAATCAGAAACACCCCAAATTAGTAAGTCTCTTTCTTTTCCCTTTATTTAGTTCTTTATTCTCCGAATACCGGCAGCTGTTGAGAATTACACCGCACGTATTGCACAAGAACATTTGCGGTATTTTGCAGAGATAATTAATTTTGATGTTCCGTCTGAGATTTGTTTATGAACACTTAAAAGAGTTTTTCTGTGCTTTCTAAGTAGAATATTTCTCAGTTCCATTGGTCTGTTTTTACATGATGCACATATCGAAATGTCAAAATCATTTATTTAGCCGAGAAATCTAAAGAACGGCTACTATCTCCCCCCACTCCTCTTTTTCCAGTTACTATCCGGAATATTTGGCAATTTCCGAGTATGCGGGTTAGTTAAGCTTTTACTGTTAAAGGAGACTGCATGAAGCAATTTCCCGTCTTCTGATTTCAGAAATTGCCTCTTTTTTACTTAAATTACTTTGCTTGGAATATATGTTAAGGGAAAACTGTTATGCAATGAAAATTTAGAAATTGTTCAGAATTTTGATTTAAGTTAAATTATTTAAATATAATATGAGTGGAAAAATAAATTGTATTTTTATTAGGTGCCAAACGAATACAATTGATATGGCTTATTATTATTTATTTTCTATATTTTGAACTGAAATTTCATCATTAAATCTTGTAATATAGTTTAGTTCTGCACAGTTTTTTTTTTCTTCTCATTATAAACTAATTCTGTAAATTGAACTGTCATTTAAAATTAAAAAAAAAAGTTAATTGTTTTCCATGGTTGAGGTAATGCTCATTTTCTTAATAAATATTGCATTGCTTATATTTTAAATTACAAGTCTAATTTTTCTTTTAAGGTTATGCAGTTGTGTATAATATAATTAGACAGGTGCTTATTTTTTCCTTAAAATGTGCTTGAAAAGTGCTTATAGGTGCTTATTTTTTTAACTAAAATGTGGCTATGAACCCTGTTAGTGCAGGCTCAAACACCTTTGTCCTTATCTGTTTGAATCAGCTCATGCAACATCCTGTGATTGAACTTGTACATCAAGTTTATGCAATGCTTAGCATGACTAAATGAACATGGCATTAATGTCTAACTCCTTAGTAAGCTCTTGACTGGTTGCATACTGATCTTCTTTCACAAGTTCTCACAGGTGGGCCTCATCAACATTAGTAGGCCAGCCAGAGCATTCTGCTTCTTGAATGTGGTAGTCCTTGTTTCTGAATTTTCATTACTGAACTTTCACAGTGTCATATGATACAACAAGTACCTAAAGCTGTACACGTGATTTGGTGGCATTCTGTAGCTGACTTTTTGGAACAGAACTGGAAGTAAATGATGGTTCTAATCTGGTAGCATGATAGTTCCATTTCAAACAACTTGTACTTATTGATAACAATATTTTTTTTTACAGATTTCACAACACGGTGTTCTAAAGCAAGTCTTTCAAATGCCAAACATCATTTGGCAAAATATGATTAAATTTGCCAGCATGAACTGTTTGTACAGACATTATTTGTGGTGGTGGGAAACTTTCATTAAAATCCGGTATTTTCAATAACTTCTGTAAAATATTGTACAAATTTTGACATTTTCTTTTGTGTGAATAAATAGCATTTCTCAGATTTATCAAAAGTTTTACATTTATAAACACTTGAAAGAATTGCTGTTGCTTTCAGAATAGGTATGAAGCATTTATATAGTAATGATTTTGTACTTATTCTGAAAATTTGCTCATAAGACTGTGAAGACACATAAATAAATAAATTGCTGCAGTGGTAGAAGATAGTTTTATTTTTCTTTCAAATTATAATAACGGAGGGCTTATTAGTGTGGAAAAAGGATTCATTTAAAAATATTTATACTTCCTAACAGCATACTTTTTAATTTTGTTTTTAATTTTTCAATGACGATAAGATTACCATGTCATGAATGTGAAGATTCTAGGAAATCTATCTTTCAGAAATGGAGGCAGTGATCTGCAGTAATGTTTAAAGTAGCTAATTGCGAAAGAAAATGGAAGAAGCATACAGATCCAGAGTGCTATTTTGCCAAACTTGCTATTTAATATTACCTAATGGTGAGCAGGCAGTGTAGATCTTATTGGGTCAATGCATACTGAAAGTTCATATTGTAATTATTTCAGTCAAGTTTTAGTTTCTGTTGTACTGAATGTGTGATTACATATATTTATGCAAAACACTATATGATAAAGGGAAGTGTGGTGAATCATGTCATTGCAAATCAGAAAGTGGGAACAGTATTATAAGCTCCTATAATTATACTTTTTGTCATTGTTTCTTTGTACCTGAAATAATGGTTGAAAAGCATTTAGTATTTGGAAACCCAGAGTATAAGAGTTTCCATATGCAGATATTTGTATTTTTGCATGGAGTCATCATTCCTTAATTTTCAATTGCTGAAATTCTGTTCTTTGTTTTGGAATGCTTTATGTTTAGTTATAACCTGTATTGACTTTTTTGGTTATTTTTGAAACTTATTAGTGTATTTCCATCTGTAATAATTATCTATACTTTAGCTATATGTACCACTTATATCTCCAATTTGTACTGTATAACTAACTGCAAATTATGCTTTAAGAAAACGATATATTAACAATATCATCTTAAAAAGAATTTTCATAATGAATAGAAATAAATTTTAGCTTTATATGTAGTAGAAGCTTAATATTATATTTATTAAATTTCAGGAAGTTCTTAAGGCAGCTAAGCTTGCATTTAATTACCGACAGAAATTTCACAAAGATGTCATGGTAGATATGTTATGCTTCAGACGCTGGGGCCACAACGAACTGGATGATCCAACTTTCACTAATCCTATAATGTATAAAGTTATACATTCACGCAAAAGTGTTCCTGATATGTATTCTGAAAGACTAATAGTATGTTACTTTCTCAAATTTTAGTAACTTGTAGCTTAGTAACTTATTACATTTTTGCATGACACATAATTACATTTTATAAATGAGGCAAAAATAATCATTCTATGATAAGTGGATGTTTATATATGTGTTGTAAAGATAATTTTAAAATCATATTAAGAAAATATATCACATCTAATTTTTGTTTTTATTTAGGGGAAAGAAAGGTTTAAAAGACCCTTCTTTCTGTAGATATCAGTTATGTCGAGTGCATAAAATTTGACTTCATCAGTTGGAAAATTGAGATTTAAATAAGAAATTTTACAGCTTCAGAATTCTTTTTGTACTAAATTAAAAAAATTATTAATTTTATTAAAAAAAATTCTTTTGAAATCCCAGAAACATTGAAGCACATTTTTAAATGATTATTATTATATATCAGATTTGACTAAACAGAACTAAGTATTATGTTGTCAAGTTTTTAGTTAGAAGTCTATATTTGTTGTGTAATATGTAATAAATATACTGACTTCTAAATTTTTTGAATAATCCTTTTAAAACTAACATTGCAATCACATTTTTTCTCATTTTGCCTGAGGAAAATTTTTCTGTTTGTTTCATTTTTAGTGCTGCATGCTATTGATACACATGTAGTTCTCTGGTCACATTTGTACTTATTAATTACAATTACTCTGAAAAAAAGTCATAGCATATGTGATTTCATTACCATACAATTTTTTCTTTTCATTTATTAATGATTTCTTTCCATTACTGCCTCCCAAAGTTACTTATTGCTGTTATAAAAAATGAATTTGGCATTTTTTTATTAAAACTCATAAACACACTATTTTTAGATACAATTTCTGGTAAAACAGAATGAATTCTATGGGTAGTTTCATAGTTTTTCCTATATAAAATATACAATAAATTAGTTCTCAAGTCTTTCTCAAAAGCATGCTTTTACAAAAACACTTCTGTAGCCTTTTTTGCCATAATAAATTATCTTCTTAATTTATGCTGTTGATTATTTTTCCTTAATAATCTTATTTTCATTTCCATTAATTCTTTTTTAAGAAACTGAAAAATATCACTTCTTAATATATATATAATATCTTTTGATTCATGTGTACATGTTACTAATTCTATAATTAATTAAAAATGAATTATTTGCATCTATACATACATCATCATCCTTTTTTGTGTGTTTGTGATAAAACTTTTTTGTGTGTGATACATACTTCCACTAAATAATAACTGTTGCTTAGTAGGTGCATAAAGTTAAAGCATTTTTAGTACTCAAATAAAAGGAGAAAATCATTCTGCAATTGATTTTACATGGTTTATAGCTATTCTCATAATAACAAAAAATGTGAAAGCAGCAGCAAGGACATTTCATTCTGATTTCTACTATCTTCATTGTTTTCCTGTTACTTGTTTGAAATTGATTCTTGTCATTAATGTAAATGGGAATCTTTCTAAGCCTTTCATAAAGTAAGATTTAACTGTAAAATTATATGAACTTTGTTTAATTTTGTGGATTTTCCTCTTCTTATAATTTTTAGAAGTTTCTTATAAGTTTTATAATTTTGCATATTCCTTGCCTTGCTTAGTTTAAATCATTTAAGGAAAATTATTTTGCTATTCAAGTCAGTTTTAATGTAGTGTTGGATTGCATAGTTAACATAATAAAATGTTGCTATGGTTTAAAAATTGTGAAAGGTTATTTAATTTAATCTATTTTAGTTAATTAAGAAATGATTTAATTAAAATATGCAAGTGTTTGACTTTTGAATTTATAGTGGTATACGATCAGCTTCTTTTTATCGTTGCTTTTAAAAATATGTAGTCTGAAATCTTGCAAATCTCCCTTGCACGAAACAGCATGGTATGAGGGGGGAAAGGGAGAAAGCTAAAACATTGTGGCATAAAATATCATAAAAAATATAGTAGAAACAAAATTTTGCAGTTTAAGAACATTGTCCTAGACAATATTGTGGTAAAAATTAAAACACCTGCAAGACATTGAATAACAAAAACATCACTTGCTTATAAAGCATCTAAGACATTGAGATTAGTGTGGAAATTTTTTTGCTTGTGCAATATTATTTTTAGTTCGATGAACTGCATCTAAGATAATCACTCACACAGTTTCGGAATATTTTAGTCTTCTGGAAAGGACGTTTTCTTAGGAAGATGCTGTTTAATAAAGATGCCAATTTACATTCTCAAATTTACCAGTTATTTTCAGAGGTGGTTGTCATGAGGAGCTTCAATGTAAAATCACCTGAAAACTGTAAGTGGTTATCCTAGAGAGAATTCAATATACTTGAAGTAATACTGAACTAAAAAAAAAAGTATGTTTAGAATTTTTGAATGTCTTAGATGCATAAAATGCATATTTTTGCAATGCTTTTATTACTTCATGTTTTTTAGCTGCTTTATTTTTATACCATGCTTAAAAGTGTTTTCAAATTATGAGATTTTGTCAATAATTTATTTTCTATGATGTTGCTTATGCAGAATTTAAAAAACTGTAAAGCTTTCTACTTACTTCTTCTACTGCAGTGTTTTGTGTAGTGACATTTTTTTCTCGTGTTGTATTCTCTCTGATGCTTTAGTGTGCGATGCTTTTACCTGTAACAGGTTTTTTAACAGTCTCATCAAATTGAGCAACATAGGTATGTCTTTATGCAGAATTTGATGACATCCTTTCCCACAATTGGTGATACAGCACTTCTGTTATGTACAGAAGAATTTAAAGGTACCTAAATCTGCAGTGTTAACTAGTATTCCCAGATTCATTCTCATTTACATCTTTAACCTCACTGCTTCACTACTTTAACTATTTTTTACTGTGAAATCTTTCCAATGTTTTCTCTTTAGAATGTATGTTCTGTTCCTTTGAACATTTTTTCCATTATCCTGTATGAATGCAGTTTCCACTTCTATGATTTTTGCACATTTTCCCCTTCGCGCTGAAGTCTACATAATTTCATATCTGCAGTGATTTTAATGGTCTTGTATTCCTGTCATAATAACTTTTCTATAATGCTTGTCTCTTTAGTAAATCTTGCTTTTATTTTTCATGTTGAATAGTTTGAATGAAATTCTCTTTTCTGGGCATTAATCCATTCATTTTCTTCCAAACATTAATTCTAAAAGTAACTTTTAGCATACTTTGTTGTTATAGTTTAAAGAAATATCTCGGGGGTCAGTAATTTAGATAATAATATATGATGAACACCAGTTTAATGAAACTATGTACACACAAGTATAAAAGCCATAAATTTGATGTGGATCGCTCATCCAAAAAGTCCAAATTCAACTCCAATGGAAAGCTCATTTGGTCACATGTCTTGTAAAAAGGAAACAAAAGTTATATTTGGGTGAACTGTGCATCCCATGGCCCTAGAGCATATGCTCTGTTTGAATAATGGCTGACGGTATCTGTTACACTTTCCCTTTCAAGCTATCTAAGTTATTTCCACTTTACAGCTTGCTTTTGATAGCTGCTTTCTAGTAAGGACAGCATGTCCATCAGCTTCAAAGGCTTTTCGTGGTTGAACTTTTCCTTGAATTTTGAGTAGAGTCTTGCCTTTTATATGGCTGCAGTGGAGATACGTAGTAGTTATCTATGGGAGGAAAAGGATCATCAGTAGCAGCAATAATATATGAAGTTGTGGTCTCTGGGATAAGTCGATGCAACAACCATCATGCCTTTTGGCATGAACTTAGAAATTTGATTCTTGTCAGCATTACTAAGGGAATGAACTGTAAGCCATACTTTGTCATTTTATTTGAAGATGGAAACTTAAATTTCTTATCAGCTTAGTGTGTATGATTATCTTGGTTTCCCTCTATTGTTTTTCTTGCGTGTTTGATAAAATTGGCAAGTTTCTTTAGATAAAGTGGTATCATGGGAACAAAATTTAATTTTCGAGTCATGGGCAGTGTCGTCCATGCATTGCTTTCATTCAAACATCAGATGTGCAGCTGTCTGACCAGTGGAGTTATATTTTGCTGTGTTAAGGGAGACTCTGATTGTTGGTAGCTTCTCGCTCCAAGAAATATGTTCATTTCCAACTAACATGGCCAACCAAGGCTTTCTTTTTTTTATATGGATTGCTTGTGGCTGGTAAACTAGCGTTAAAATTTGCTTAATTTTCAAGAAGAAACAAACTTGTGTTACAGCACTATTATCACTAGTCATCAACCATGTCATCTATTATCACTACTGACATGTTTGGGTGGACCATATTGGTGTATAATTTCTTCTTTTAGTATAACAGCAGATTCTTTAGCTGTTGCATTGGTTAATGCAAATAGTTCCACCTACTTAGTGGAACAATCTTCTGTGATGAAGACCTATCTCGTTTGACTACTGTTAGATAAAGGTCCAAATAGATCTGCTGAAATAGATTCAAATCTTTGATTGTAAATCTGTGTTTGCAATAGTCCAAGTGACTTCTAGTTACTGGGTTTATAATATTTATAATCATGGCAGTTATTGTATTAATCGATATCACTGATCTGTATTTAAAAAAAAATGTTTGATATTTTAAATCTAATAGGTAATTTAATATATTTTTTCAGTGCTGATTTCAAAAATGAAAACCAAATTTCTGTATCAACTGAGGATTTTTTGCAAATTAAGAGCTTTTATATTTTCAAAAATACTTCTATTTTACCTTATATTAATCGATTTTAATTTTAGTGATACAAGTTATAAATAAATTGAACAATAACAAAAATATGTTTAATATGTTTTGTAAATTAAGACACAATAACACGCCGAATAAATACTAATTCAGAAGTCAAACAACAAAAATCAGCGTTATACCTACAAAATTTTCACGGGACTAGTTTCGATGGTTTTACCGAACCATCATCTTCAGCTGCAAACCGCAAATGAACAAGATAGGAAATAATGATTAGATAAGATAAGAAAGCCTGGACAAGAATAAGCAAGTGGCGCCATCTGTTGACGAAACCAGAACTTTTGTTGTTTGACTTCTGAATTA